TTTTTTTAATTTTGAGCTACAATTATCAATTTTAAAATTTCAAATTCTTATAACCAAAACTAAAAATTAGCAACTCAATAAATAAAAAATTAAAGTTCTATATATGGATCTTAAGGTCATTCACTTCTTATGAGTAATGTATTCAAATTCCACAAATGTCATTTTCTTTTTTTTCACTTAACTAATATATATAACTGCATTTGGGCCTTCGGCTCAATGGTCTCAAGCTACCCATAAAGTGCATTTCGCCTCCCCTAAGCAATGATTCGAATCTGGTTCCTTGCAAATTTGTTTAATATATATATATATATGTAATTAATTTTCAATATGATAAAAAAAAAACAAAAAGAAAAACCCATATATGGGAGGGTATTTTTGTCAACCAACTTTTCAACGGCTATCCGCACAAAATATAGCCGTTATGCCGCTTCTCTAGATCTTCTTCCTTCTATATAGTTTTTACTATAAACTAATCAATCGAAGAAGACAACTGCAGACAGAGACCCTAGATTACCAGCAACCATAATCCCTATATAAACCCATCGTCTTAATTTCAATTGTAAATCAAGTCTCCCTCGAAATCAACAGCACGACTCATTCCTAACGCTCTCTGGTTTCCTCTTTGTAAAATTTTGTATCTTTTTTTTTTTTTTCTCTCATCGGTTAAATCTTGATTTTCTATTTTGCAGGTGTTAGGCTTTGTATTCCATTTCTTTTTTTTTGTTGAAATTTTTTTGCAGGTCTCTCTTATTTGTTATTATTTGCTCTTTTTTTTTTTTTTCCGTGCATAACGTTATGGATGCAGGGTCTTTGAATTCTTCTTCAAATTTGAAGGGGCAATCTAGGTTCCCACTTCAAGAACAGTTTCTTCATAGAAGAAATTCTAAAGAAAATGTAAGAACTCTTATTGATTGATGATTGATGATTGATGAAGCTAGGGTTTTGTTTTCTCGTTCTTGATTTATGGGTTTTCCCCAATTTAGGGGCTTTTTTTTTTTTCATCCTAGTTAATGGTTTTTTTCTGTTATAATTGTTTTTATTCTAAAAATGCTTCCTTTTCCCCTTTGTTGTGGATACCAGTTGGACAGATTTATACCAAACCGTTCAGCAATGGATTTCGACTATGCACATTTCATGCTAACGGAGGGGATGGAAGGTAAGGAGAACCCTGCAGTGATCTCACCGTCCAGGGAGGCCTACCGGAAGCAGCTGGCTGAGGCACTTAACATGAATAGGACCAGAATCTTGGCTTTCAAGGACAAGCCACCAACACCTGTTGAACTGTTCCCACAAGAGCACTCCTCATCTGTTAACCCTGTTAAATCTGCAAAACCTCGAAGACACATCCCTCAGGTGTGTGTTTTTGTGATGATGTTTCTGTCTTGCAAAATGGGATGTTTAAGAAAAATAAAGATTTTGACGGTGAAAAGTAGTGATGCTGACTTTGCTTTATTTGATTTTCATCTACAGACTTCCGAGAGGACATTGGATGCTCCAGACCTTGTAGATGACTTTTACCTGAACTTACTGGATTGGGGCAGCAGCAATGTTCTTGCAATTGCTCTTGGAAACACTGTGTATTTGTGGGATGCTTCGAATGGCTCTACATCAGAACTTGTTACTATTGATGATGAGATTGGCCCAGTGACCTGTGTCAACTGGGGTCCTGATGGTCGGCATATTGCCATTGGTTTGAATAATTCTGAAGTGCAGTTGTGGGATTCTGCTACAAACCGACAGGTTTGTTTGTTATGAATCTTTCTTCATTAAATTTTGACGGTAAGATATGTTTCTACAAGTTTGCTGAATACGGTTCTGATTTTTTGTAGCTGCGTACTCTGAGAGGTGGTCACAGATCACGAGTGGGATCATTGGCATGGAATAATCACATCCTAACAACAGGAGGGATGGACGGTCAAATAACCAACAATGATGTTAGAATCAGATCACACATTATTGAAACATACAGAGGGCACCATCAGGAGGTCTGTGGATTGAAATGGTCAGGCTCGGGACAACAATTAGCAAGTGGAGGAAATGATAATCTAATTCACATATGGGATAGATCTGTGGTATCTTCAAATTCAGCAACACAATGGCTTCACAGGCTGGAGGATCATACTTCTGCAGTAAAAGCCTTAGCTTGGTGTCCTTTCCAGAGCAATTTGCTAGCATCTGGTGGAGGTGGAGGTGATCGGACCATCAAGTTCTGGAACACACATACAGGTGCCTGCTTGAATTCAATTGATACTGGCTCTCAAGTATGCGGTTTGCTGTGGAACAAGAATGAGAGAGAGCTTCTTAGCTCCCACGGCTTCACTCAAAATCAACTTACTCTATGGAAATACCCATCAATGGTTAAGATGGCAGAGCTAACTGGTCACACATCTAGAGTCCTTTTCATGAGTCAAAGCCCTGATGGTTGCACCGTGGCAACAGCTGCAGGAGATGAAACCTTGAGATTCTGGAATGTTTTTGGAGTCCCAGAAGCTTCTAAACCTGCTCCAAAGACAAACCCTGAGCCATTTTCTCAGGTGAATCGCATCCGGTGAAGAGAAAATGAATTGGATTCTGTGCACTCTGACACCAGCCAAAAGCAGAGAACTAGTCTTATAACTTTTCTTCAACAAACTTCTGATATAATATAGACAAGAAGGGTACAGTATTCCTAAGCTAATTGCTTCATTATCTTCCTTTATAGCTTCTTTCAATGGTTTACTAATTTGAAAATGGTTTGCATTTTCTCACAGATAAATTGCCATTTTCTTGCAACCTGTTCTGACCCATCCACAGATATGTAGGTGTGATGATTCACTTGGTGGATGACGGCTTGGGATAAAAATTCAAGGAGCAAATGTACATAGTTGTTGAGACAAATATCAAACACGCCCAAAACGCCCATTTGGAGGGCCAGAGGCCTGAAGATCCAACCCATGTAAAACTCCAATCCTAGAAGAATAAGGAGAAAGAGTTTATCTATAGTGGAATCCTAGTAAATACAGTCCCAAACAGGCTAGAAACCACTTAGGAAATCTATATGAACCAATCCCTTAGGAAACATAGATCATGGAAGGGGATTCAGAACTTTTCATTTTGTACACATTTTTTTCATAGTGGAATTTTTCTCTATGATTCCGTGGTTTTTCCCTTCTAAGGGTTTTCCACGTAAATTTCTGTGTTATTGCTTTTCTTTATCTTGCTTTGTGTTATCTATATTAGGTGTTTTTTTTGCATCAACAGTAGTCAAATCTTGTGACAAAATCACGTAAAATTTGGGTCTTGTGTTGAACATTCTTTCTTCTTCCTTTTTTTTTTTTTTTTTTTAATTCATGATGGAAAATATTGAAACAGGGAAAAAAAAGGGATAGACACAAACAAAAATGAAGGGAAACAAAGAACTCTCCACAGAACCAAAATGCAAACGGGATACATTCACCCTATTTACATGAAATGCACGTTTGTTAAGGCTGTTTGCTCAGTTCTCTGTAGATAGAATAGTGAAGCAGATTATTTTTGGTGTCATTGAGAAGGGATTGCTTAAGTTTCTGTCA